TCTAGTCCACTTTGGTTCCAGGTCATTATAATTTTATGCTGGCCTGCCCCAAGTTTGTGCGGAAATTCTGATAGCATAAGCAACACATGCTGCTTTCTTTGTTAGGCAATCATAGCAAAGCAACTTGAATGTGGTTTCATTATCCTTAATACTTCAATTGTCCTTTGAGCCCATTATATTTTGTTTTCAATCAGAACACTAAAATGTATAGGGTACAGGAAACAGGAAATCAGTTTTCTGTTTGTCTTTTTCCTTAGAAAAAGTGATTTGGTGAGAAATCTAATGCAAGCTGAAAACATGAATATCAAATTTGATCTGCTTCTATGACATGCTACATACAAATTTGAAAGCAGGCACACAAGTGCTTTCAAAACATTGAACGTTTATTTACTTTATTTGTTTAATTAACCAGGTGAAATGGACTGTCATTTACTCCCCCAGAGTAAGCTAAAATCGGGAATGTTCATCAGCAGACTCTTGGCAGGCCTAGCCACAAATATTCATTAAATGTTATAACTCTGAAAAGGGCAAAGAAAATAAACATTGCATTATACATTACAAAATGAAAAGCATGTTCCCCTTTAGCACTAACTGCCCTAGGACATGTTTGTACTGTGCTTCTGACATACATCAGGGGAAAATGAAAAGAAAGCTGCAGTAAACGTGTTTGGGTATTTGTAACTAACGAAATATGTTACTGTATGTGTGCAGCTGCTTTAACCTTCAGTCACCTGTCTTCCTCCTAAGCTACTCCTCAACATCACATGCTCTTCCTCCTGATCTCCCCCCAAAGACACTTTAACCCTAGTATCCTCTTTGCTGTCTTTTTCCCTCCACCTCCCTTCCCCCTTTTTTATCCCAAGAAAAGCTTGTCCTTTCATCGCAGCCTTCCCCTCCTCTCTGGCAGCATATTTGCCTCCCACCCTCTTTTGCCTGTTCCTCAGCTGTGCCAAAGGAAATCATCCATGAAAAATGTGTTGACCCTCCATAATTGCCGCTTCCTGCATGTTTCCCTTCTCCTTGACTCCAGAGCCACGTACTTTCTAAACTGATGTCGGAGGAAGATGGGCTCAGACACACATCCATTCTGTATGCACACACCGAGCCACTCACCAACACTTGTACATCTATGCAAAGGGGACACATCCTCGCTTTATATGTATACATGGAGTGAACTATATAGACAACCCCAAAGCTATGTAGTTAAGTTTTGTGGGACTGTTTGCCTGTAAGGTTCGGATTGAAATGCAATCATTTATGGGACCCAAATTATAATTTGTTCATATAGGTGTTCACTTTCATTTTGAACATTGCTCATATCTTTGTAAATGTGCTTGCATTGCTACATGTATATTCATATATATCCTAACAATATCAAATTAAGCATTGCATAGGCCTACATTATCAACAGAATTATTTTCCTCCGGATTACATGCGATTAATGTTGTAAATTGAAAAAAATAAAACGACGTGGTTATTTTCAGGCAACAGGATTACTTGTTTAAGTTTAGTATAACATAGTTTGAGCTAAAATCATTCAGTTTGTTGGGTTGTTATTGAAGTGAATGACGTACATTCAAAAATAATCTCCCTTTTGTTTGATTTGCGGATGTATGTGTTATCTTACAAAAAAACTACAATGCAGGTATTTTGCTTAAAATATGCAGAGTATTGCCCTTAAAAAAATCCCTCCCTTATACATATTCACAAACACTGTTATATTCACAGAGGCATGTCTTCGACACACGTTCACATGTACAGACAAGAACAGCCTGACCTAACACCCTAATACACTTTCATTTGGGATGAATGTCAGCGCTGATCCCACTTTAAGCTACAACAAATGACTTCCACTCTCCTTCCTCTACTTCCATCCATCCGTCTACCTGTAGTATGTCTCCTCCAATGTCCATTGTGCCTGCTACATAGCATCCATATCTCTCTTTCAATCCACCTTCCTCTCACCTCTCACCCCTTGTCTCCTTTTTATCGATCCTGCTTTTTGTCTTTCATCCCTACCTTCTAATGGCCTTCTCCTCTTTCCAGTTGCACTCTGCTTCCCTCATTTTTCATTCTCATCTCTCCCTTCCTCTGTTCCCCTCCTCTCTGTTCCGTTGGTTTTTCATGATGCTACCAATGTTATGGAAGACAAACCAGTAATTTTATTGGCATTTCCTCACATAAACAGGCACCTATCTCCCCTCATTCTCCCATCCCGTCGCCATGCCAAAGTTAATTGTAGGTTTTCATTGCTATGGCAAGCAGGCTGTTAGAATTAGATTTGGGTTATGTTGTCAACCGTGACTGAGTCCTCTCCTCTGTAAGGCTATGACCTAACCCTGGCAGCTTTTATTGGGAAGCCAAAGGGAAGATGGCAGGTGTGCACCAGGGACCTGTTAAAGGCATACCTTGACAGTTAGAGATGTGATGTGGTGTTTTCCTTTGCCCGGCACATGGGGTGTTAAGTGCACATATTAGTTTTTCACTAGTTCGTAAAGAGTCGTGTTGTCAGTGTTACTATGTCTTATTAAAACCAATGGGCATGGCGAGCTAATGAGATGGCTGTTTATAGCTTAAAAGAGGTTTGCTGTTCTGCCACTTTGGTTCCTGTTGTTGTGTTTTTAATAACTTAAGAACTGGAATAACAGCTGTTTTCCCTAATACTGTTTGGGAATATGACTATAAGGAAGAAAATGCAAGAAATAGTATGCAACTATTTTATATCTAGAATACCTGAGCTGTGTGGAACAGTTGTCAGTGAACAGCCACAGAATTGTTCCATTAAGGTCTGAACAATGATCTTGGCATTGTATGGTAAAAGGTATGGCATACAGTATAACAAACGTAAAAAATAATTCTCAAATATTTTTTGACTCTTGGTCATGCTAACTTTCCACCTACTACCTCTGTTTTTAAGATTTGGGAAACGTGAATATAAATGTGTATATACATTTTTGGACCATGTTGCTGAAAAATGTCAGCAGTTTTGTCAGTACATTAGTTAAACACATGGTAAAATGTATTATGAGGTCATTTTCTTTGTGTTGGTTTATTGTATTTACTATTTTGTGTCATAGAAATTGTGCTTTGGATGGGTTGTATTACCTTCAGGGTGGTTGAATTATTTCGATACTGCATGCTGTGTTTGGTGACATCCTATTTTGGGTGCATATGTAGACATTTCAATTCAAAACATATAGTAACCCCTCCCCCCATGTCTACCTCCTAACTTGCACAGTACAAATGATCATACCTTTAAACTCCAGGGTAAGATAGGTGTGAAACAGTCAATGAGTTAATCGCCTCAATGCCTCTCGACTAATATATTTAAAACACCTAGGACCCTTTAGGTTGCAAAATGGAAATGAATAATACAGGAGTTCTTGTAGAGTTTGAGTATATCACTAAGTGAAGACCTCCAGGCTATTATGACACCATCTTTAAAGCTGCCAGTCTTTTACCTGCGTATCTATCTCCATGTAAATGGATAATAGATGTGCTACTTTAAGCTGCACAGACATTTAAAGCACACCCCTGCTCTGCTCCATCATGCAGAAAGAGTGTGCGTGTGCGCATGTGTGTGGGTGTGTGTTGTTTATACAGCCCGAGATATGCCCCGTCAGCCAATGTGAAATCATTAGTTATACTAATTGGTTCCTAGCTGTTTGGGTATCCGAATCCCTCATTCCTCTCCTCTCCTTTTATCTTTCATTCATCTTATCTCCCTCATTTTGTGGCCCCCATCTTCTCCCAACCACTTCTAATGTGACATGTTCTCTCTGCCTTCCTTTCATCTGACTCCCTCTCATTCCCCTCTCTTCCTCTCTGTCTTTTTGCACTCATAGCTATTTTTCCGAGCACTTTTTCACTTCCATTTTTTCTTTTTTAAAATGAAGAACATGAATAATGGGGATACAGATGTCTGCTGAGATTATCGCCTGGCCTCTGGGTGTGTGTTACTGTGTGTGTGTGTGTGTAAGAGAAAGAGGGGAGAGCTATGTTCCTTGAACACTGAAGATTGCAAGAGTAAATAAGCAGGCACAGCAGTCAATAGAAACCAAGATTGTGTAATGATTCTCGTTAGAATCTCAGCTTGTATCAATCTGAAGATGAGAAGAGCTGAAGGAATGCAGGGAGAAGTAAGGGTCAGTGAATGAGGCCAGTGGGGGGGAGAAATGGTGGAGAGAAGTGAAGTGCTGGCCTTAGAAAAACAAGAAAATAACTTCTGCCTTTCCATTTATATCACTAAATGTTCACTAGGTCCATAAATAACACTCACTCAGTGTCACTGATCTTGATTTATCTGAATATTAATAAGCTGCTTGATTTATTTAGAAGATTATTCTTGTCTTTTTGTTTTAAATATAGCCAGATGTTTCTAGGAAAAATATCTGACAAAATGAATCAGCTTTTTCTAATATTTTATTCTTTGACAGATGTTTACATAGAAATATGATATTGCAGTAAATTATCTGGTCTAAAAGATGGCTCTGTTTGTGTGAAGTTGTTTCTTGCTGCATGCTTTCCCTTGTGTCTGTCTTTCCCCTTTTTATTTGTCTTCCCCTCACTCCTCTCCCACTGATTCCCGTGCGTTTCTCTTCACCTACCTTGCCCTCTGCCTCGTTCACTCCCACTCTTTATCAAAAGAGACCCATTCTAAATAGAAATTCCCTTCCTGTCTCAGTAGATCTTTTGTGATGACAACCCTAGTCGACCACAGCGAGTATAGTCATCCCCTATGGCAATGTGCTCTCTCTCTCTCTTTTTATCCGTAACCCCAGTTTCTTTTTCCTTTTTTCAGACAACATCACTTTTTTTGTGTGTGTTATTTGAGGCACCAGGATTAATCATGTGAGCTCAGTCCCCTACAGCAGTATCATCAACGTCAGTGTGTCAACGTTTTATATTTATGATCTTCCTTTATTTAAGTTTTTATTTTTTTCTCCATCCACTGCTCTGAAATCAAAGGTTTCTTAATCATTTCTCTTTCATGTCCACAGATCTTTCTAGACGCCAACACCATCAAACTGGGCAACATCCCCCTCGGCAGCGCTGTTGACCCGCTGGAGGGAGCGCCAGCAGGTACCACCTACACCAAACAGACTGTGTACGAGCTTTGTGCCTGCGCTAACGGCAAGCTCTATCTGTCCCCGGCTGAGAAAGGCTCTACCTGCCAAACAACCAGTAACTTTTGTCTCTGGAGCTGAGAGTGGGGCGTCGACAGACACCTCGGACACATGGACTATTAGAGTTTGAAGCTAATGCTAGCCAACTGACTGAATCAACATGAATTATGGCGCAGTGGGAAGCCAATGCCAGCTAACAGACCGAATCAAAATGGATTGTGGCATGGCGAGAAGTTCAGGTCTGTTAACCAGTTGAATTATATGGATTACAGCTTGGCAGGAAGCTAATGCTTGCTAACAGACCAAAAGAACATGGACTCTGGCTTAGTGTGAAGCTAATGCTAGCTAAAGGACTGAATCAACATGGACTAAACCTTGGTGAGAAGTTGCCAGCCCACCAACCTAAATATTACAGATTGGTCAGTTGCTAATGCTAGTCAAGAGGAGGAATGACTTGGCGGGAAGCAAAAGCCAAGGTTAGCTGATGGGTATGATGCTACTCATGGACATGGATGGACATTTTCACCCTGGGGCTCCAATTGGCTGTCTTTGCCATTGTTGAAATGCTGCCATGACGGTTTCTGAAAGTCACAAGGATGACATTTCGGGGTTTTCTGAGAACACGTAACTCTCTCACAAGAAAAGTGAGTTGTGTGTTTACCGTATAAACAAAAACGTCCTGGAAGTCATTCTCCTGCTTCAGTTAAGATAAACAGATATGGTGATGGACTGCAAACTTGCCAGCAAGGATTGGACATGGACTCAGTTGGCTATCAGACATTGGTGTGGACCCTGTTTTAGCCCTGCGGGTAGCTAACAAATATATCAGAAATCGGTTTAGTCTAGTGGGAAGCTAAGGCTAGCTAACGGACCAATCTATACCAGAAAGGCCTTCCCCCTCCTTCCCCTCTAGTCTTTCAACCCAAATGTTAACGTGTGACCCTTCTGCATTAATCTTCACCTAATAGGAATATGCTCTCGGGCCCCACTTTTTTTATAGGTTTATTAATGCAAATAATTGTGCTTCAACCTTGCATTCATCAGGCTTTTTCCTCAATAGATTTCATTATTTTTTACATTGACTTTTATTCTATTTTAGTTATCTTTTCTTCAGATCAAATATTGTACTTGTTTCTCTTTGAATACTGTTAGTTTCCCTTCATTAATGCTTTATCTTCCCATGTGTTGCTGCTGTTCTACTTTATACCTCCTCCATGCTGTTTTGTTTTGTCTATGCACCTACATAAACTGGACTGGCAAAAGAAAACCTTATTTTGCCTTTCCACTCTCTCTGTCTGGTAAAAAAAAGTATTTCTGCTCTTCTTCACAGGACTGGTTGAAAAACATTTTTACTAACTATCAGTTCCAGATTCAGGGTTTCTCTGGATTTTACCTGGGCATACAATGCTTTTTGTTAGAGACAGAAACCAAATGGAATAAAACATTTTTACTAAAACTGTGGTATTGGTTAGGTGTTATAGCAGAACAACCGTTGTATGGTACGGGTCAAACCTTCCAGTGAGGCAGAGGCAGCAGTAGGAAGACGGCCAGTCCAATTTTGATAGAGTTACAGAGCATAATACATATCTTCGGCCTGTGTTCCTTGGTCCTCAGACTTTTTCACTCATTCATCTGACTCTTGACATTTGGGCTTTCATGCCAATCCCTCTTTCTTCTCAGTCATGTTGGTGTTCTGTGTCATCGAGAAACCTTTTTTTTTCTTTTAACACACTCCTTTTTGTTCCCTTCTTTGGTTATACTGTATTTACTATACATTTTTCTTCATTTACACTTTTTATCTTTTAACCTTGTCTTTCATCTCTTACCCATCACTCACAGAATAGCATGTTCTGATATCTTCAGCTCATCTCTTCGGTTCTTTATTGACTCTCTGATCTCTTTTTGCCAAACCAAACTCAAACTTCAGGAAAAATGTCCCTACATAGTTTAGTTCAGCAACCTAAGCAAGAAAAGTCCCGAATGTCCAAAATATTATTTTGTGGGGTTATTTTTTGATATGTCAATTATTCTCAGACAGGCGGATCAGTGTGAATGGCCTCGAGCCGGCTAACCTAGAGTCCAACATCTGCGATGGCTGGAAATCAGCAAATTTGTGTGGCAGAAATCCCCCTGGAAGAAATTGTGGATGAGTTGGTTGTATGTGTATGAACTCAACTGGAAAAGGCCCTGAGGCATACTTTCTTTTTTTTAAACAAGTGATACACAGGTGCCTTTGCTGCTGTTGGTAAAAGCACATCACAGTCTGAACGTTCACACTACCCTCAGTGGACCATCTGCAAGTGTCTCTGGAAAAACTATATATTTATCAATCTACTTATCTATCTATATGGTTTTCTGTCATTTCCTTCCCTTTTCTTCTGTTTTTGTAGAACTCTCGGTATATCCTGCAGAAAAAATAACAATTCAATCCTGGTTTAAAATTAAATTTTCTGATGTGTTCCCTTGTGGTTTTATTCTTGATAATAAAAAAGCACAAATTATGCCATGTATATAACAATACCAATAAAATACAAAATAAAATAATATTGTTTTTAAAGAGAATCCCTGGACTCTTCAGTGTTGTGTATTGTAATTTTTGCTTGGATGTTTCTGTGTTCCCAAGAGAAATGTAATTGCTTCTCTGATGATCACAACCTAAATAACATTATATTTAACTGACAACTTAATATTATTTCTCATGTTTGAATTTGTTCAACAAATGAGAGACACAAAGGTTCTTAGTAATGCCATGAAGTGTACATTTGTGATTGTTTTTAGGTTTTCTGTCTGTTTGTACTAACCTTACAGTATGTTGTCTAATCTACGTGTCTGCTTGTCCCTTTCTCCTGAACACGATATAACAGGAACGCCTGGAGAGAATTGCCTCAAATGTGGCCTAAACGTCCAAACGGACTCAAGGATAATCTGATTAGACAGTGGTGGTAAAATGTTCCTGTAACCTCATGTTAGTCCCATTGTCGTGAATGCAATGTCTCAGAAATGTCTTCAAGGAATCTCATCAAAATTAGCTCAAACGTCATTTGTAAGTCTCCTTTGTAGCCTCTTCCTATACATTCAACTATACCATAGTATCTGCGGCTCCATAAACACAAAGCGGCCTACAGAAACTGTAAACAACAATTGCTCTTAAAAGCCCCAAGTGCATGCACTGAATATCATAACATAATACATAACTGATAAAGATCATCTTTGACAGTCCTGTGAGTGAACAAAGATAACAAAGGTAAGTATACATCACGATACAGTATATACAAATGTTTTCAATGATTGTCATGTTTATCCATGAAAATGCAATTGCCTTATAAAGTATGATCATTCTCTGAATAGGCCAATTTATTCCGATCAAAGTATCATTAGAAACAGGCTCCACCTCAGCTAATGCTTATGTTATTTTGGGCTGCAGCCGTTTTGATCCAAAGGGAAACCAAACAGTGATGATTCACAACAGCACACAACCCCCTTCCTCCTCTATCTCTGTTTTCATTAACTCCTCACACAGGACTTTTCTTCTCCTTGTTAATCCCTCACTTTGTTTATGTTATCTTAGCCTGCTTTCCGCTCCTTCTTGCCCCATTTTTTGTTTTACATCAAATTCTAGATTTGTTTTTGTCTTTCTTCCCTGTCAAAAGATTTACGTGGTGGTTATGAAGTGATGTTTTAAAATATTGCTTACTGAGGAATAAAGTATGAAATGTAACATCCACACACAGACATTTCAAATGTGCCCATTGACCCAAAGGCCTGTTAATATGAATCAGATAACTTTACAAAAGTGAGTGCCAACTATATTTCCAATCATTTACTATTTTAAGGTTAAGTTTCTACACTTTGCCAATTGTGGCCTCCTAAAAGGTTTCAGCTGTACTATAAAGGATTTTTTTTTTTCGATGAAGAAGAAGAAAGAATGTGTTGTCTTTAAGCATGGTTTGATTTGATTTATAAAACGGACAAGTCAAATCAAGCAATCTGATTGGTTCTTAGCCGTGATATAATGAGCATATACCACGGGTAGAATTGTAGTTACTTTTCACAACAAGTCAGTATCCCTCCGCGTCTGAGAAAAGCTACAACCGTTACAACTGTTACATTACGTCCGTTACGAAACTAACTAACTAACAAAGCTTAAGATGGAAACATGTAAGGGATAATGTGCAGCAAGGACTTATTGACCGTTGTTAAAGGACGCTCACATCTGCAGAAAGAAGTCCGGTCGATTTAACTGTATACAGTTGGGCTGAAAAGCAAACTGCATGCAGTTTGCTTTTCAAACTGGGACAAGAAAACAGCGGAGAAGTAACGGGGCAGAAACCCTCCTTTTTACGCAATGGTCCAGACATAGACATCAAACGGCAAAATATATTCAGTTGCCAGTTACTTTGGCATTAGGGCAGGGATATCTAGATACTTTCCAAGGCAAAAACGCTATTGACCAATCAGATTGCTTGATTTGACTTGTCCGTTTTATAAATATATTTACATTTCGTCCGTTACGAAACAAACTTACAAAGCTTAAGATGGAAACATTTAAGGTTAACTTCGGAGTGGATTGAGCAGTGCCTATCTCCAGAACAAAAAGCACCTAAACGACGACATGTAGAGCTACGTGAAGAGCAGGTAGTAGACCAACTGGAAAAGTATCACCATTCAAAAGCTTTCTGATGCAGGTCTTGAAACAAAGCAGAGAAATTATGACCGTTAGTGGCCACAGGTGCGAAAGCTCTCTCCAGAGCTACTGGAAGCCGAATCTCGGGGACCGGAGAAAGTGGAGCAATATTCTCGCCACGCCAAGCAACAGCCTCCCTAGAACAACCTCAACCTATACAAGTAACCACGTAAGCCATGCTACTGATGCTGGACAGTTTTTCAGTGGGTGCACAATAAACGGCAACATACACATTAATGTAAATAAATAGCCAAATAATGGATCAACGCTCTCTGTCTAATATGTTCGCTAGCTGTTAGTGTTGTTGCATAGCAACCACCTTGCACTATGTTTCGTGCAGAAGGCAACGGAGGGACTATTTTATTTTGAACATCATTATTTACTAATAAAAACTATTTAAATTAGAGTGTGTATTTTTCTTTCATATTGCCACACTTGGTAACCGTTTTATAAAAGCAATGGCTCACTTCAGGCCGTGATATATGCTCATATCACAGCTAAGGGGCGTATTTCGGCCCGACACGAAGCGGAGGGTCGACAACCCCCTTAGCTGTGATATAATGAGCATATACCACGGCCTGTCGTGAGCTATTAAATATACATGTGAAATGTGCCTTTTATATAGAGCTTTTGTGTTCATCAAATCAAACTTGGTATGCAAAGTAAAATCCTGAGTTAAAGTCAGTAATTACATCGTAACAAAAAGAAACAATGTGTTGCAGCGTCTGTCTGCTATTGTGATGTTGCCACTGTAATGCTTATTAATTGTGAGTAAAAGTCGTTCTTGTCTACTGACATGACATAAAGTAAAACCCATTTAATTTTCCTTGGAACTATAGAGAGCACTGGGAACCATAATTGTGTCCATGGACTCTAATTTGCGCTTTCAATCTTGTACATTTTAGAACCAATGAATTGGCAAATTGGATAAGAAACACAGCATCCATTTCTAATATCTTAAAGGTTTGTGCCGCAAAATCCATCGAGAGCCTATTCATCATGTCAGCTCAAACAAATGAGTCTGAACCTCTCTTAGGAGTTAGCAAACAGGCAGCCTCATTTCTTGGCTAGGTGGACAATGAAGCTATAATGGTTATTAACATATACAAACTCTAAACCTTCTGTAGCAAGGTTTTTTTCATAAAGGTTATTGAGTGAAAGGAAGGTTGGGAGTGAGGCAGCTAATGAGAATTTAGCTGCATGACAGACAGATTAAAATGTTGACGGCTAATTATTCTACGTTACCTTTATGTGGTTCTGAAAACAGATACCTGAACAAGTTGAACTAAAAGTGCATCATCTGATAGCTGTTGGAAAACAATTATCTTTTTGATTTGGTTAAGTAGTTTGTTTGTCTCTTTGTCAGCAGGATATTATGGGCCAAAGAAGAACCCATTAGAGATTGGAGCGGACCCGAATGACAGGTTGGATATATATATATGAATTTTCCCTCATGGAAACAGCCTTTTTCGGATGTCTGTGCTCTCCGAGTGCCCTTAATGACAAACTGTAAAAACATACATCACCCGAGAAAAAAACTAAAACAAATTAATGGTAATATAGAACTTGTTAAATGACTTGTGATAATTGTGTCATTTTAAGGGTTAATGTTTATCAGGGCCATGAAATACTATCCATCAAAATGACCAGTATATTTATGGGTTATTCATATGATTATTTTTAACATGGTACATCTTTTTTCTTTTTTTTAAGAAAATGAAACAGCGCAATGTGATCAAATATTTTGTGACGCTAATCTCTTCACTCTACATACACATAAATAGTGGAGCAGCCAGAATCATCTTCATACATTGTCAGTGGATATAAGCAATGTGAGAAAAGGCTCTGTGTCCTCAGACCCTTCCAGCAAATAACACAAGAGGTTAAAACGACGAGTTCGATTGAAGAGAAAGGCGTGTCAGAAGGAAGTCCCACAGCCAACAAGATTAAGAGCCAGGAACAGGGGGATTGTATACTACAATTACCGCAGTTCATATTGTACATTTTAAATTGTTAGTTCTGTTTTATTGATACACATATATACTGAAGGTTTTTTTCTGAAAAATTAGAACTTGATCTCAATTAAATATAGGATGGAAAAAAAGGTATGGGCTGTTGCCACCTTTTCTGAATCCATAAAGCCTTGGCCTTGATGTGACCTACTGCTACTTGCTGAGCAACAACTAGGAGGATATACAGTGCAAATGAGACATTATTGATAATTAGCCATATTGTTCTTGTACTTGCAGTATAGGCGTGGTTGCCTCATTGGGTTACAGTGTCAAATGGCAGCATTCACATGAGCTGCCCTGACAAACCTTTCATTATCTATGACACCACTACACACCAAACACACAAACACACACAAAATCAGAGGCCCCATTGTCAGTGGATGATAAAAGTGTGTATTTGTAGGACAAGCGCTGTCAAGCCTGCAGAGGATGGAGATAATATTCTCTCATTTCCTCCTTGCTTGTTGAGACACATTACCGAGGACGAGGAGAGCAGAATGGTTTGGTTAATCACTACGTATATGAGAGAACCAAGCAGACAGCAGGTGAAAATGGAAATAAAACAAATGATGCTGCAGAGGTGATAAGACGTTTCCATGAATGGCCAACACATTTTGGTCATTCGTAAACAGAGGCACAGTTTTGAAGTGGGAGGACTGAATTACCAGGGAGCGTTGTGAGTGCTGGCATCAGTCTTTAAATGTGTGCTTGTACGATTTCACAAACAAACCACTAAGGCCTGGTAATGTTCCTCTATGCAGCCTGTCCTCCTGTTCAGCAGCTTATTATGACCCATAGTCACGTTTTAAAGTGTAGCACCTCTAGTGGTCGTG